TAAAAAATAAAAAACAAGTTGGAACTTGAAATGTCTGGAGCTATCTGTTCATATTGCTTTTATAAACAGACATCTGATCTAATAAAAAATAATCTTTTCTGTGGTCATGACAATAAATACAACAGTCTTATTATTGCCATGTAGATTGTTAGTCTTGATTTAAAAACATAGAAGCAAAGAACAAACTGATGGTTGCCAGAGGGAAGAAGGGGCGGGATGGATAAATAAAGCAAAGAGCAATATAATCAATAGTAGTGTGATACCTTTGCATGGTGACAGATGGTTACTCAACTTAGTGTGGTGAGCACATAAGATAAATAAATGTTGAATAGTCACGGAGATGTAAAGTACAGCATAAGGAATATAGTTAATAATACAATAACTATATATGGTGTCAGGGGGATACTGAAATTATCGGAGGGGGAACACTTTGTAAAGTATATGATTGTATAACCACTATGCTATACACCTGAAACTAATACAAAATAATATTGAATGTAAACTATAATCCTATATAATAAAACCCTAATATGCAAATTGATCGAAGGCCAGAAAGACCGATGACTATGACACCCATTGACCACCAGGGGGCATATGCTCAGTGCAGGAGCTGCCCTCGTGGTCAGTGTGCTCCCACAGGAGGAGCACCGCTCAGCCAGAGGCCGGGCTCATGGCTGGCGAGTGCAGCAGTGGTGGCAGGAGCCTCTCCTGCCTCAGCTGCAAGCAGGCAGTAAGGAGTAAGGGGTCCTGGACTGTGAGAAGGCACAGGCCAGGTGGAGGGACCCTACTACCCCAGTGCATGAATTGTGTGCACCAGGCCTCTAGTTGAAAAAAAATGCAAAAAATAAATGTTGAGCTCTAGCTGGTTTGGCTTAGTGGATAGAGCATCAGCCCTTGAACTCAAGCGTCCTGGGTTCGATTTTGATCAAGAACACATTGAAGGCTCGATCCCTGGCCCTGGTCAGGGTGTATATGGGAAGCAACAAATCAATGTGTCTCTTTCACATTGATATTTCTCTCTTCCCTTCCCTTACACTCTCTCTAAAAATCAATGGAAAAATATCCTTGGATAAGGGTTAACAACAACAACAAAAAATACTGAATCACTGTGTTATACACCTGAAACTAATATAAAATTGTATACCAACTATAACTTAAAATTTTTAAAATAAATAAAAAAATACAAGGGAGATTTAATTACAGGTTAATCCTAGCCTACAAACAAAGTATGTTAAAGTTATAAAAAATAATCATCATTTTGCAACAAATCATTTTAGGAATATTAATCCAGTCAAGTTTTATCAATTAACATTAAAACTGTTGGGTGAATAATTGGTTGCCTCCCATACTTGCTCACACTGGTTATCAAATCTGCTACCTCAATATATGCTCTGATTGAGAATTACAACCTTTTGATGTATGGGACATGCTCCTCCCACTGAGCAACCAGTCCAGGGCCCCTTGTATATTTTTAAACAAATAATATATGAAAATTTTTCTTTAAGATACGAAAAAAGTACAAAAGGCAGTATGTTTCTATTGTATTGCTCAAATAGATATTCATAAGAAATAAAGGAAGTGTGACCATTATTTCACACCATCAGTACAAATTTACCTGAATGGATCAATGATCTAAATGTAAGTGCTAAAACTATAAAGTTTTAGAAATAGATAAGGGTAAACCTTTGAGACCCTGCTCTGGCAATATTCTTTAGATAGGACCAAAATAAAGCACAAGTCAACCTCACATCATTGAGAAGTGTTCTGTGACATGGACAGATAATAAGCCATGCATGTCAAAGACATGACTAAGTGGCCACAAGAAGAAAAGGGGAAGACAATGAAAATAAACCTACATTAGGCAATTGCTTTTTTGAGACCAGCATTACCTTCATATCAGAAATATGACAAGAAAATTTTGAAGAAGAAAAATTGTAGACCAAAAATTTTTTAGCGGTATAAATACAGAAATCCTGGACAAAATGTAGCAAATCAAATCCAGCTGTGTAGGCACACTGAGTGGGAAAGTGAAGCCAATATATGACCATACCAATAGATGCAGAAAATTGATATGAAAATACCACATACAGCCCTGAACAGTTTGGCTCAGGGGATAGAGCATCAGCCTGTGGACTGAAGGGTCCCAGGTTCGATTCTAGTCAAGGGCATGTACCTTGGTTGTGGGCACATCCCCAGTAGTGGGTGTGCAGGAGGCAGCTGATCAAAGTTTCTCTGTCATTGATGTTTCTAACTCTATGTCCCTCTCCCTTCCTCTCTGTAAAAAAATCAATAAAATATATAAAAATAAATACCATAAACACATTCAGGACAAAAAATCAGAAAAATAAGAGGGTAAACTTCCCAATCTATAAAGAATATTTACCAAAACGTACATAGACATCATTCTCAATAGTAAGATGTTAAACCTCCACTTTCCTGAAAATCAAAAATAAAGGATGAAACAAGGATATTTAACCCAGATAGCAGGGTGATGTATGTAGAAATTGCAGATTAACCTGGAGACAAATTACCAGCAATGATTTTAAATTTAGCAAGGTTGCTATATATAAAGTCATCAAAAACAATAAAATCATATTTTCATGCACTGAAAAAAATTTATTAAGAAAATTAAAGGCCGGCCGCTGTGAGTCAGTGGTTGACTGTTGACTTATGAACCAGGAGGTCATGGTTCAATTCCCTGTCAGGCCATGTGCCCTGGTTGCAGACTTGATCCCCAGTGTGGGATGTGCTGGAGGCAGCCAATCAATAGTTCTCTCTCTTTCTATAGTAGTTTCTCTGTCTTTCCCTCTCCTTTCCTCTCTGAAATCAATATATAAGTCTATGTTAAATAAGTAAATAAATAATGACATATTTCTTACTAGTATTTTTAGACAATATCTGATCTCCTGGTATGGAAGGTGAGAATTTACTTCTCATCCCCACCTCATACAAAATAAACACACACAAACCCACACACACACAAACACACACACACACACTCACACACATATCCTATATAATAAAAGGGTAATATGCAAATCGACCAATCAGTGGAACAGCTGGTCGCTATGATGTGCACTGATCACCAGGGGGCAGATGCTCAATGCAGGAGCTGACCCCTGGTGGGCAATGCACTCC